ATTGCGGACAGGCGACCGCCTCCCAGTGAACAAGTTCTCCTCTACGCTGAAAGGAATGCATGGAGGGAGATCCACAACTTGGTCTACGGGGGACTGGGCCTCAAGGAGGCCATGGCCCAACTACGTCAGGACACCCTGTTTTGGACCAGAGAGGTCTATGAGTCTGTCGCCCGGCAGAAAGGCACCAAAGGCTCTGGGCCTGACTCCCCAACACGACCAGCCAAGTCAAAGGGACGCCAACCTTCATGGTCACCAACTCAGCCACAATGGAACAAACAAAAAGGGTCACCCAAAGGGGGTAAGGCCAAAGGGGCCATGGGATCCGGAAAAGGGAAGGACTCTGAATGGCCTTCAAACTGGGCTAAGATCTCACCCAAGGGAGTGCAGTACTGCCGTGACCACTTCCTCAAGAAGAAATGTCCCGGGAACTGTGGACGCTCCCACAACTGTCCGGTCCTCAAGAATGGCTGGGTATGCAACGCCGCGCCCTCAGAACACACCCCAGAGCAATGCCCACACCGTTGACTCCTGGCGGACCCGGTAGCGTCTTGCACCGATCACCCACCAGGGTTGATGGACACCCCAACACCTGTCAAAAACCAAGCAACAACGGAACCGGGGGGGCCCCCCCCAGGTTACCCTAACGACACAAGCACACCACATTCACAACAAGAGGCAGTGGGCCGATCACTTGACACACCGGCGATCATGAATGGACAGTCCCTGCTTGGGCACTGTCCATGGCTTTCATCGGTTCCGAACAGGCTGTTGGAACGCCTTGTATGGACCACACAATCCACGGGTAGTCTCCAAGGGAGGGACATCCTACTCCTCTACAGCGGCAGGAGTGACGGAGGAGCCCTGGATGACGTACTCATCCAACAACGCCAGGACCTGGCCCCCAGGCTCCTTGCCGTGGACATCCTGAGGCCACCAGAAAAGGGCCCAAACGACATATTGGATGATGAGTTTTACTCAACTCTCTGCTGCGCCGCCGCGAGGGGCCAGTTGTCATTTGTGGGGGGCGGCCCCAACTGCCGGACCTGGAGCATCCTACGATGGTTCCCAAAGCCTGGAGCGCCCAGGCCTGTACGAGGACGGGATCCCTCCCAGACATGGGGCCTTGACTCAAACTCCCTGGAAGAACAGTTGGACACAGACAAGGACAGTATCCTTCTGCTCCGGCAAATGGTCATCACTGCCCTAGCCTCCAAAGCCAGGCAAAACAAAGGATTCCACTCGTTCTTGGAACACCCTCGTGACCCAGCTGAGTGTAGTAGGGCTCCAACGGCGACAAAATGCTCATCGATATGGGCCACTAGAGTCTACCAGGAGTGGGCCAAAGAGGTAAATCACTGCCAGATCCACCTGGACCAGTGCAGACTGGGACAAAGGGCACAGAAGAGTACGACCTTCTCAACGGACCTTCCAATTCACCATTGGCAAGGCCTCCAGTGCAACCACGCTGGACATTCAAGGCCAATGGAGATGACCTCCCGGGACCTCAGCAGATACCCGCCAGAACTGATGACTGGGCTAGCAGCAGCAATCATCCAGAGCATTCCAAACACAGGACATCAACCCACCGGGTGCCAACAGGAAGGGGAGCCTCCAGGTCGGACGGACCGCTCCTCATCGGTACCCCTCTCCCAGACGATGACTTTGGATGACGACCCGATCATCGTTCAATCAGGCTTCAAGACTAGACCCTTACGGGATGGAGGAGGTAAGCCCTCAGCCGGGAGACGACCTCCCCCGCTCAGACCTCAGTCCAAGATCAAGCACATTGGAGACTCCATTAGCCACCTGGCAAAAGGATGCGCACAGGACGTCCAACAGTCCATCAACAGTGGTGAAAGAAAACACCCGTTCCCGAAGGAACTTCTCCAGGAGACACGACGGGCCATTGCCCAAGGGATCGGGCTGGACTACCAAATCGCTGAGGAGATGGAGCCAGGCCAGCCGTTCTATCTGAACCTCATCTCAGCCTTAGCAGAAGCTGGTGGAGATGCAGATGCAGCCTACCCCACAAGGGTGGCCAAGGGAGTCCCCTTAGGTGTCACCACACCCACCTGGACGTCACCAGGCATATGGCCTACCAAGGAAGAACTCAAAGGAGAATCCCCTCTGTGGGAGGACCTCCTGATACCCATGGGCAGGGACAACTACCCCTCGGCAAAAGATTTCTCCTCTCAGGTTCGACAGACCTTCGTGGAAGAGGTCGATATGGGTATGGTTGAGGGCCCACTCACACAGGAGGAGGCTGCACTCCGCTGTGGATGCACCCCAGATGAACTCTGCCCAGGGCCCCTGGCAGCAATTGATGAAAGAGATAAAATCCGCACAATCTACGACGGAAGCTGGGGCCATGCAAACTCACACATCCAACAAAACACAGTTGAGAAGACCACTGCACCCACAGTGATGGACTGTGTTCAAGCCATTCACTGGCTAACCACCATGAAGGAGAAGACATCTGGGACGGTAGCGTCTTGCACCGACCTGGCATGGCAACCTCCACACAAACAAACCACCTGGGCACTGTTGAAAGCAGATGTCTCAAAAGCACACCGCCGCATCAAGGTCCAGTCCAACGAATGGCGCTACCAGGTAGCACAACTTGATGGTGAATGGTGGATAAACAAGGTGGGTACCTATGGTATGGCCAGCGCCCAACTTTATTGGGGCAGAATGGCGGCACTCCTCCTCAGACTATGCTACATGATGTTTCCACACATAGACTGGGGCTTTGTGTTCGTGGACGATTTTTGTTGGCTCCTCAGGACGGACTCCGCCACTGAGGATACTGCAAAACTACTTCTCTTCTTAGCAGCCATGGGATGCCCCCTCAGTTGGCACAAGACGGTGTTATCTGAGGTCAACACCTGGTTAGGTTTCCAGGTCAATCCATGTGGACCCGTGGTCGACTTCCCTCCAGATAAGAGGAAGACACTTGAGGCACTCCTTCAGACCATTGCGGCGGGCAACACCTTCACGGTGAAGGAGATTGAGAGAGCACTGGGACGATTGAATTGGGCAACGGCAGCTTGGCCCCTCAGTCGCCCTTTTCTTCAGCCATTTTGGGCATGGAAATCCGCGACGACTACCTCAGGGAAGCCTGGCAAGCTCATACGATCCTTCTCAAAGCTTCTCCTCCAACTGCTTCACAGCCCCCAGATCCAGCCCTGCCCTGATGACCCTGCCTCCAATTGGTGGGGTGCCAGTGATGCTAGTGCACACCCGGACGATGGGGCCTACATTGGGGGATGGATTGCAGATTGTGAGAACCCGTCAAAGGGCCAGACCTGGTGGTTCCATTACAAGATACCCCTCGAAGACCATCCATGGGCTCACAAGGATGGTGACCCAACCAGACGCATTGCGACCCTCGAGATGTTTGGTACATTGATTCTTACCCACTTCCTGCTGTCTTTGGGTGGGAAATCTCTGCTTCGTACCCGTCTCAGCCTCATTTCAGACAATCAAGGCAATGTCTTTGCCCTGTTGAACCAGAAGACGAAGCACATGCCTACCTCAGCTTTCCTAATGCAGCTCATTGCCATGCTCTATGTTGCTGGGGTTCAATTGGCGCCTTCACACATGAAGCGGGACTACAACAAGTGGGCGGACGAACTCACCCACCCGAACTTCACTGGTTTTCATCCTGATCGACGACTACCAGTGAGTGAAGCTTTTTCCCATTTTAAATTTCTCTGGGCCCTTCTGGATGACCAGATGAGTGTCCCCACCTTTTCAGGAAATTCAAAACGTCGTAAGACCGACTCTCACGCCACCTAAGGTCCTTCGGGAGCCAGGTGGTTGCGGCTGACTTTCTGGTGTACAGTGGTGTTTTCCCACCTACAACCCTCTTTTTCCTTTCCTTACTTGCGCGGGCTACACGCTCCGGCGGGTTGGGTGGATTTTGACGTGTGACACCACCACTGCATTTCAGAGTTTCTGTGAAACCATTTGTGATGGATGCGATTGGCATCTGACAGAAACACAGCCGCAAAGCCAACTGCATAACAAAAGGTGCTGACTGACCGATGCAGTTGCTTTGTTCCGTTTCTGTCATTTTCAATTCTATTCGGGAACACAATATAATATAATATAATATGATATAATATAATATAATATAACATAATATAATATAATATAACATAATATAACATAATATAACATAATATAACATAATATAATATAATATAATATAACATGACATAATATAATATAATATAATACAATAATATAATAAAATAAAATATAATATAATAGAATAGAATCTAACATAATAATATATAATATAATATGACATTATAATACATTATATATATAATGACATACGTATGATTGAGGTATGACTTCTGGTACTCTTTGAAGCATATTTTTTGCAGTGTTCCTCAGCTCGTGTTGGCCTTTTACGAGGGACGTCCAAAAAGGGATATCCCAATAGTGAGACCTCGGTTGAAATTGGCTGCTTGTGCACAAGCTGCGCTGTTGCCTTAATCTTGAGTGTTTCGAGCGAAAAAGAGGCTGTAGTACCATCCCAACAGCAAACTTCACTGAAGAATGATCCAACTGACCCGGAACTTCCCGGAACCAACCCCCGAGCACTGAGGAACGTGTCTTGGCTTTCACGGGAAGCCGCTGGGGGATTGGAAACGAATTTTTGCTGGGGAAGTTGAGTGTTGACTGACAGGTAGATGAGTCTTGAAAACATGGCGCTCATCAAGAATAGATGCTTCGGTAGGTTGGAAAATATGGAACATGTTCATTTGTTGGATACCCAGCGGTGCAAATGTGTGGGAAAGATCCGATTCGAGTAGACTCTCAGATATCAACCAGCAGCAATCTGGGCTCATGCAATCTAAGTCTTGGTACTTAGTAGATCATGATGTAGATCATGAACATACTGTAACATACCAATGAGTGGCTGGTACATGCCAAACAAAAATCTCACATATAAAACATGCACTCGTTCTCGGCGTCTCGGCTTCCAGGAAAGTCTGCGGCTGCATCGGCCCATTCGTTTTCGACTACATTGGTGTAACTCGCCGACGGTTGTGGCGAGAGGGGACTCACAGGACAGAAATGTGCAAAGGCTTCCCATGATCCACGAAAGACTCAAGTAGACATACCCTGTCATAGCCTATCCATTTGGACAAGTTGCAACTAATATGTACTAAATCTAGGTCTAAGTATATCTACGTGCATCGATTGGAAACCCATTTCAGCGCATCATTGGTCTGATTGCTGCAGGTTTTGTTGTCCTGCACAGGGTGTTGGTGCCTTCAGCGTGTGCCTTGGCTCCGACTACAGCCTTGGTTCTTCAGCCAAGGCTGAACACCAAGTCGTGGATGCTTGTTGTCTCTGTAATGTTTTTTCTCAGACATGATGCGGACCCGCAGATTTTGGATGTGGTTGTTCGCAGCAGTGATGAACAACTATCAAATTATCAACTACTGTGTGAGCTGCTGAATTTTGAACCAAATCCTTTGGTTTGGCTCACACAAGTACTTGGAAATGATAGTGATAGTATGCTGCTACAACTAGCTTAACTTGGGAAACCCCACACATTCACATGTGTTACTCAAACTCCCTTTTCGATGTCAGTGAATACTGAATACCCTCTGGTGAACTAACATAGCAATGGAAAATCACCATTTTTGATGGGAAAATCCACTATAAATAGCCATTTTCCATTGCTATGTTAGTTCACCAGAGGGTACTCTGTGGTTCCCTCCTTTTCTGTCCTTCCAAGAGCAACCTGTTGGGTGAGCCTGTCTGTTGACGTCGCTGAGGCTGGTTTGATCCGGTTGTTGCCCGGCTTGCACCGGCTCAGGGGCGTACCGTACCTTAAAGGTGTTGTGTTCAGAAGAAACAAAAAAGCAATACCGGTAGATATGTATTATAGTAGTATATATATATATATATGTCCAGAATATTATCTCATTGAAACATATATGAATAGATATATATAACATCAGCATTCAATGAAAGGTTTAGATGTGAGTGAAGAAGTTTCAACTACCGGATTTTAATCCGGTGATTCTCATCGGAATGTTTTGACTCAGATCCCGGAGTTTCTCTTGCATGGCACCACTTTCCAAAACGGCGGCAGCTGCTTTAGGTTCCACTTCTTCAAGCGACGCTTGGCGCAAGAATGGTCCAGAAGTCAGATGCAGAATGGAATGCCAAAGCCATAGCACCCTGAATGTGGAAAATGTAGGTCATGTATGTTGGATGATCAAATGTTAGCATGGTGGAACCTACATGCTATATAAGTCATTACAATTCTATATAATATATATTATATATATATATAGTTGACAGCGTAAAGTTGGGCCTTAGGATCAAAAACCTCAGTCCCCCCGAGTCCACCCCCGAGCCTATTCTCTAGTCCTGGGCCATCCTGGGCAGGTTCTGAGGGCGAACTTGTCGAAGCCATGGCTTGCAATCGTGCCATGATTGTGAATGCTCCTTGTCTGGTGGCAAATTTGTTGAGCCCGTGCCAACGATTTTTTTTAGCTGGTATCTATTCAGTGGGAGTATGTAGTAAGGCACATTTAGGCAGATGGCACCCTGTAGATTTATGTGGATGAGATGGGCATGAACTCACAAAATTGATCAACATTTGACGAGGTCCATAGAAACGAAGGTGACCAGTCCGATCGCCGATCCCACGCGATCCCTAGATCTTCAACTGACCCAGCCCCATGAGAAGCTTCAACCAATGAGATAGACCCTGACAGCCAAGGCCTTTGTTATGTCACTACTTGCGGTTGTTTGCGTCATTGTGCCCCTTGGCACAAGAAGAGTGGCAAGTTCACGATCAATGATGGCACTGAGAATCATCTCCATTTAATCCACCATTTGCAATGGAACGGCACCGGGGTTTGTACGAACGTTCATCCAATGTTCGTATTTTTGCCAACTCTTCCACATATGTCAATAGAAATGATAAACGTGTTTCCAGTTTGAAGAATAGGCAAAAGATGGCTAAAGTAATTTAACTCTTTGGGTGTGTGAAGATCATGGCGGTTCCTCCATAGGCCGAGTGGCTGAACACTTTCTAGACACCCGCCTCATTGCAGGTGATATGTTCTGACCCATCCTAGGATCGACAAAGTGGCAGATAGCGTGCAGAAGAAGGTCGGCGACTTCGTAGGGTAAAACGATGGGTAAACGGGGAGTCCCTGTCGGCCAACTATACAAAGAGAGTGCCCCTGGGCCCATGCCTTCACAATCCGTTGGATTTGCCCCGGTCAAACAATCCGTATGGCACTGCAGAATCCTCATGTTTCAAAGGAAGTTGGAAATCCTCATGTTTGATAGTAGAAACCCAAATTCTGAAGCTTGCATCTAACTGTGTACATTGTTTGGGTTAAAATATGTTAAAATCAAACTCCTAAAGTCCTTGTGTTTTTCAGGTTTGAGTTCGATCCTCTTTTTTTCGGTCTAGATCATTTATTGAAGCAACATATATAAGCCAGTGGGACATATTTTACTATACATGCTAAGCATATAGTAGAATATTTCCCACTATCAAACACGCGACTGGAGAATTACCTTTGGCTTCCCACTAAAAAAACACCAAAAGATAGAATAATATAGTATATTCACATATATTCACATAACATCCCCTTGAATATTCTATCTTGTAAATTTCGTTCATGCCTGTGTAGAAAACTTTGACATGACGGATTATGTTTGAAGCAGCAGTGCAAAGACACACCCTAGATCAGTAGGGTTTACTTAAGTATGGTTTTGTTTCTTCCTCAAATTATAATACTATAGTAGATATGTATAGATATGTCATATGTTCTTCGGGTCAAATCGGTCAAATCTTAATTTTCTTGGGGTCGAATCCGAGTTGTTTGGGTTAATGTGCCCATCTAAACCTAATAATACGCCTAGCATTTGAGAATAGTTCCACTGATTTACAAGTGCTCAGGAGGCGGCGTCACCCATTCGAATTCTGGTTCGAGACGGGACAACAGGGATGAAAAAAAGCGACGCTCGAAGCATCGGTCCAAACGGTGAAGCAGAGGTGTTTTTTGGGGCCCCCAATCCTTGGCCAAGTTGGTGAAAATAGGTAGTTTAACGGATGGGTTTATGGTACACATATATAATAATAGATAATCATACATAATTAGGTCATTACATGAGGTTATAAACCAGCAAACATAACTGGTTGGCTCCTTCCTGTGGGGTTCCAGAATCATCCTAAGTGGGAAGGATTTGTTCCCCTTCAGAATATGAATTTCATCATTAAAAACTTTTTAAAACCGTGCTGATTAAATGGGGAGAGTGTCATCCCCTACCCTCTGGATCCTCTGGTAATCTACCTGGCAATGGGAATATCACACTTTTTGATGGGAGCGTATAAGAAATCCATATAGTTCATTTGACTGGGTTAGCATCCATTTGCTCTTGTTTGGTGCAGCCGGCTAACAGTTTTTTTTGATCATAGCGCTTGTCAACACGTTTTGCATTGAAAATTGGATGTGTCCTACATCATAAACCAATAGTTGCCACCAAAAGATGGTTTGATGCTGTACCCCAAGGCTTTCGAGCCGTGCCCCGCACCACAGACAACATCAAGAGAGTCGTTCTAAATAGATCAGCCCTGTCATCTTCACGAGAAGGGCAGCTGGATGATGCTAGAACTCCTTGTTGCAGCGTAGATGCTATAGACTGCTGTTACTACAGTGCAACTCTCAAGAGCAATCTGTTTCTTTGGATCCACATACAAAAGCATCCACCTTGCAGGTTATAAATCCATACAAATCCCATTGCACGGAATGATGGATGTCGCAATGATGACATTTAGGTCTGAAAAGAGGGAACTACTTAATGACCATAAATTGGAAGCCAATCCACCCGTGTTTGCCATATCATATTCTTGATATATTCTTAGAATATAATGAGAATTATATATAGAATTACAACAAACAATCCAATATAGGATATAGAATATAGAACACACACATAATCACACATAATATATATAGATATATACATGATATAAGGCATATTACATATGATAATTTCATATAATATATGCTATATATATATATTTCTAAAAAAACATGTTATACATTGTAGACTTCATAGGATATATTATTTATATCATATGCATATCATAAATATTATTACATTAATTATATTGTATATTGCATATGATACATCACTCAGTTAACGTACACAATAGACAAATAGACAATATAATATGTATATACCATACATATATATATATATATACTGTATATATACATGTATATATTATGATGCATTAAATATACCAAAGCCATGTTGACCCAGTGATTTAACATCCCCAAAACCTTATCAAAAACCTGCAGAAATCCGCGGGGGCTTAGGAGTCGCAGACCACGTTGCAGCAGCTGGGCACGTTGACGGGCATGGACCTTGAGAATATCCCCTCCGTTCCCCGCGGGAGCAGCGGCCTCACCGAGATGCTTGGGGAGCCTTGGACCCATGAGTTGAGTGATTCCATCGAGTATATTTATGGTGATTTAGAGGGGATATAATGGAATATATATATATATATATGTATACATGTATTTATATATATATATATTATATATATATGATATATATATATGATATATATATATGATATATATATATATATATATATCCTATATGATATATATATATATGATATATATATATATCCTATATGATATATATATACATAAACAAGAAACATGATTGTGGGGTTGACTGAAATGGGACACACCCCGCAGATATGGAATTGTTTGATAGGGACAATGATAGACCATGATAGACCCTATGGCATGACCATGGCCAGGTTCAGCTGGAAACGATCCAGAGTCTCATGGTCAAAGAGTTTAAGATCTTTCAATGTCTTTGAGATGTACAGATACGGATTTTGGACACTTGAGGTCATTGTGTTATCAGACATCATCGTCTCCAGTGTGGATGTCCAACCTTCCATTACTTCTAGCCTTGTTTTATTCTGGCAGCAGGCCGCTTGATACAGTCGTGGGAGATGCCATCTGTTGAGTCATATGGGATACACAATGCTATTAGGGTGCTATTCTACAAAAAATATACCCATACACCCAGACACGGTCACCACAAGCAAACCTGGACAGCTTGATGAGAAGTGTTGACCATGCTGAAATCCGCTTTGCTCAGAAATAGCACGCCCCAAAATCCACAAGCTATAAAATTATGATTACCATCTGGTTATTTAACATAGCCATTAAGAATCACCATTTTTGATAGGTAAAGCACCTATAAATGGGCCATCTATACCATGGCTATGTCAAATAACCAGAGGGTATGATGTTCAATTATGATTATGATGATGTTATCAAAATTGCAATGAATTGGGGGCCTAGACAAACCCAGATCCTCATCCAGATGGTCACTCTACGGTTTTGTGCTCAAATATTGTGGAAGATATAGCTTGATTCTCAAACTGTGGGGTTTAAGAAGAACAAATCCTCTGAATATAATGATGAATTTCATCCAAGCGTCTGGCCATGTCCAGCGTTGCTGATCTCAACGCCACGACCTAGGATGACGAACTTTCAAGACTTGGTGCTGGTTTGAGGCGGTGACTGGCAGTTTCCAAGTTACAGTATGTTTTTTTAGGTTTAAGGAGTCAACATCCCCATGAAACACCATGAAACTAGTTTGTTTGAAACCAAAGACCTGAACATCGGGGTAGCAACGCTGTAGGATTCAACACTTGGGAGTTGATGGCATCATCTGAATGGATGAGCTCAAAATATTTAACAATACTGGTACCACTGGTGATTGGTTCTTATAGGGGATTATACTACCTGGTTTTTCATGATTTTAATGGGGATTATGACAACCTTTTCAGGAAATCTATTAACCAACCAGTATGAGATGAAGGAAATTCTTCGTATCAAAAACACATCTTTGGGGTGACCACCAAAGTGTCGACAGCATGGGATCTGGGTCAGTGGTGCCCAATGATGAGTTGATCGTTGAATGATTTTCACCATGGCCAACGGTGTCGAAGCAATTTCCCTTAATAGAAATCCAAGCACTGAAAATTTGATGATTTGATGATTTTTTTTCGGTGGGAAAAATCATCAAATCGCAAAACATTGGGAAATTTCCCCAATTGAAAGTTTTTTTTGCGATTTGATGATTTTTCCCACTGAAAAGAACCAATTCTGATTGGGAATTTCATGGAATTTCCCTGCCTGCAGGACCGTCATGACAGGCTTTGGTCTGCTGGTTGGTATTTGTCCGAAGCTGAATCTCCATCCTAAGCTGTTGGAAACAATTGGAAGGAAGATATTTACACCCCATTTATGCTTGATGGGAACCTCTGAAAAATCATCTCAGCAATTGGTTGGGGTTGGTGACAATGAAGACTTCAACAGTTGGAAAGAAGTTGCAGTTCTTCTCAGAATGGGGAACCACTGAAACTTGGGATATCAACCGATTTCTGCTTGGTGGTTTCACATGTCTCGCAGAAGTTTTGGGACGGCTGGCTCAACCCCCTTTCAAAGCATGTCAGCCTGTTGTTGACCTCCGTGCATTTCATCACAGGGCACTGATTTTCAATTGGAGCTTTCCGCTTTGTCATGGGGGTACCCCTAGTTATCATCCAGTCGTCATGAACGACGATAGAAATTGATCGAAACCCATGGTGAATCATGGGGATCATGACTTCTCTGAGGTTGGGACAAGGCTTTTGAAACTGCACACGAGACGGTGGCAGAAACCGTGCCGGTCTTCCATGCGCATCCAGTGATTGGGCCGCTGGGTGAAGTCATGAATCTGCCTGGCCTCGTTGAAGGTCTGGAAGCAGTAAATTAGGTGCCACTAAAATCATCTCAAATCGCTGAAGATCACCAAAGAGTTTCGTAGACACTCTCCTAGATCCAATGGATTCCGACCCTGTTGATCCCACCCTGCTGAAATAGCCCAAGATTTTCCCAAAGGTATTGTAAGCTCTGAAAAAGCAGTGTTGACCGATGAAGAAGCTTCCATAGTGCTGCTTCAGCAAGAGTCATGAATTAATGATAATAATAATAATCATCATCATCATCAGTTTCCAAAGGCAGCGCCCTCAGGACTGGACTGGTAGCGGCAATCTTGCTCTTGTTCGTCGTTCCGGTGTCATGACGGCAGAGCTGTTTTTCGATATTCACAGGAGACATTTGCACCAGAGGGCACCGCTACACATAAACAATTACAAATGCAAATTGATTTTTTGTAGAGACCCACAGACCCACATATACAAAACTACATCAAAACTACATGCACAAGAACGCCATGGCCATTCTGTCTTGACATTTGATGACCGAGGCCTGGTACTGGTACATTGTGCCAAATGCCATGAAGGATGTACCTCGGCGCGACAATGTGTTGTGCCATTTATAGGTACTGATAGGACCTGAGAAGCATCATGCCGCAACATGAAATCTACGGTTCCATGACACATTGCATCCATAATCTATGGAACAACTAGCTACATGTACCCCCAAAACAACCACGTGCAGGTAGATACAACATACAGAACATACATTGCATGAGATGGGTGATTTGTAGGATGATCCTCGGCAAGCAAGCCAAGGGGGGTGGCAAGGAGTAAGTGAGACAACGCACAATGAACCTTTGATACCTGGGGAAATGACTTCATCGGTAAGTATTCAATGTTTGAGGTAAGACCTATGTATAAGATTAGAAGGATGAGTGCCACAGTTCTAAAGAGTTGAATTTATCGAATGTAAACTATGTATACTCAAAAGATGGTAACACGTGTTTCGTTGGACAATAACCCATTTATTTTCCCCCTATGTTCTTCCATGCCCAGGAAACGGAGCACAAGCAAGATATCGAGCATCAGCAAAGTTTGTTCCTCGATTTGCAACTTTGGTACCTTTGAACATCTAGGCACCATAAATCTTTGCGCTTGAATCGGACAAAGATGTGCGGCAATCAACATATTCCAGGCTTCTTATTAGGAGCAACTCATGGCAAATTGAGCAGGGAGCCTGTCAATGCCATTGGGTTTGCTTATAGTCCTCGAAGCCTCTCTACTGCCATTGTCCAAGAGCTGTCACGCTGGGATCTGCTTGTTTTGTTTGATGGTTTATATATATATAATTAATATATATATATTATATATATAGTGGTTTCAAAAGTAACGAACTTGCCATCCCAAGTTGGGTTGAATTCCAATGAATCGGCCTGTTGTTGATCCACGTGACCTCAGGATGGCAAACTCCAAAGGCCCACAGGCCATTTCGCTGCCTGAAAACGGATGGTTTTTTTGGTATCCCCCATTTTCTATGGCCATTTTGATAGGCAAAATGATGGTAAGATGGTGGTTTTACTATACCCATCCCACATTCTGCCATAAGGTTCATTAGGTTAGATGATAAGGTAGAAGAAGGTTGACTTTGGCACATTCTGCCTACCATCTGGTTATGACTAACATAGCCATGGAAAGATCCACCATTTTTCAGTTCGGTAAACCATCTATTTTTATGGGCCATCTATACCATGGCTATGTTAAATAACCAGATGGCAATGTCACCATGTAGATACAATTCCCTTAGCGGCCGGAGAGCGGCGGTATGGCCCGCAGGTCGAAATCTCGTCCAGTGAAGAAGGTGAAAGTCAAGAATCGGCCTAGATGAGCCATGGAGAATACCTAGTGGTGGATGACAAATATCACGACTATACAGTTAATATCAATTCAATGTGATTTTTATGGGACTTAACCATGAATTGATATGAATTGCATGGTCTTACGGGTTTTGAACTATCAAAGACATGGGAAATACCAGTGTTGATTGGTGATTTTGTGGATTATTGGGGGTTCTAGTGGATTATTGTTCTGGCAACCCATTGATTGGGGATACCTATCAACCAACCACTATGGGAGGGGATACGAAATATGAGCATTTTTCATGGCTCAGATGCTGCCAGAAGCTGCAGATGGGTTGTAGTTTTGATGAAAAGCTGGCAGTGTTGGGACGCGAGTTCGATCAGTTTTCGTGCTTGATATATAATTCAATCTGTTGATGATATTGCAAGCAACTTGTTTTTGTTGGGTGTTTGTCTGCATTATATTGCTTCAAATATGATTCAATGTACTAACATTCAAATGTTACGGTCGGGTATTTCAAACATGTTGTTTATCCCTGCCTGGAATGATGAGCCCCAATTGACTCATAGTGTTGGGTGATGTGAAACCATCAACCAGTTGTTGTGTTTGATGGCTTCTTATGGTGGCAACCCATCTGGCCACTTGAGAAGACCCCCAACAAATAGCAGGTCTAACAGAAATGAACATAGAATGAATATGATAATAAACTCCGAGATTTCGAGGTAGCTTATTTTATCAAAATATACTATAGATAACTATAGGGTTTACACCTCAACTTTCATTGCTGTTAGGTGATCGAGCAAACAACACAGACGTACTTAATCTTTTGGGGGTGTGGAATCTGTCGCAAAGGTTTCTGATCAAATGGCAATGGGTGGATGCAATGACAGTATTTATATTCACTCCCTTATCAATATCATAAATCTGATTTTTATAGTGGATAGGATAATGGATAGCAAATACTTATCATAGTGGATATAGTTCCTGTTCTCTCAACTCCCTCTTCATTTAACGGATCTGTTGTTTCAATCTTCAAGCTCAAGGTATGCCAATTGATCTGGAATGATAGGCCTTCTGGCGCCCCGATGCAGTGAAAGATAGGCCAAAGATGGCAACTCTGCCTCTCCGAGCGCCAAAGATGCGACAATTCGGGTCATTGTTTCAGTTTAGATGGGATCCCATGACTTTCTGAGATCATGATCAATAGATATCAATAGAAACATGATGAAATATCTGGGATGATCAGCTCAGCTCTTTTGGAAGAGGAGTCAGGATGAGTCATGTGGAATTCCAAGCCAGAGGCTTCAAGAAGGGTGAATCTGCCCACTGGGCCGGTCTGAAGAGGTGCTGTTTTCGATTTTTATATGTGTTTTTATCGACCAATGATGGACCAATCTTTCGATGTTGATTTTCTTGGATGTTCCTTTATCAAATTTAGAATTGAACTGAATTGCTAAAGGCAGAATACTTCAAAATAATTTAAATAATATAAAAAAATCGAACATATTTGAACGGGATATTAAAATGGTTGATATTGAATATAACACTTCATTTATTCATTTTTTATTTTAAATAGGTTGGACGGAAATAATTTAAATTATTAAAAATTTTTGTTGAGATCTATTTTTGGAATTGAAGATTATATGCATATTTTTATTTGATTATATTTTTTTGTAAGAATTTATATTTTTGTCGTTTTTATGGTGAAAATTAAAATATTAAAAGATATATTTTGGAAAATTATATAAGGATGGATTAAAAAAAATAAATTATTAATTATTTCTGAAATATTTGGGAATATTAATATAATATGGGTTAATTTATATATATGAAATAATATAAATAATATAAATAATTATTATGGTAAAATTTAAATTATATATATAAATAAATATTTTGGGATTTGAAAATTTGTAATATATTTTTGAAATATTGATTTAGGGTTGACATATATATTGATAAGATATGGGGAATTGTTTTGATAAAATTAAAAAAAGGAATATATGAGATGAACATTTTGGGGTTTGAGCTTTTGTGAATTATTTTTGGAATATTGGTTTAGAATGAATTGTGATATAATTTATTCGGGCAAAATTTAAATTATTTTATTTTGTATGATCCCCACCATAACTTGTATGATCCCCACCATAACATTTATATATTTTCTTATTGGCAAATCTTCTGGCATTCTATCTGACATATCTTCTGACATTCTATTTGACATTTTATCTGGTATATCTTCTGGCATATGATTTGACATATTTTCTGGTATTCTATTTGACAAATCTTCTGACATTTTATTTGGCATATCTTTTGGCACTTTATTTAACATATCTTCTGGCATTCTATCTGGGAGCCGTCCAAAAACCCCAGAAAGGTTTTTAATATACGATTTATTCTCGCATTTTTCCCATGGTCTAAAACCTGCATCGCGCAAGTTTCGCGTAAGGGTGGCCCAAGGTATGCGCAAATACTATTGTTATCAGTATTTCAAGTACTATTTTTAATTAACATTTTGATTACTACTACTACTACTACTACTACTACTACTACTACTACTACTACTACTACTACTACCTACTACTACCTACTACTACCTACTACTACCTACTACTACCTACTACTACCTACTACTACCTACTACTACCTACTACTACCTACTACTACCTACTACTACCTACTACTACCTACTACTACCTACTACTACCTACTACTACCACCTACTACTACCACCTACTACTACCACCTACTACTACCACCTACTACTACCACCTACTAGTACCACCTACTAGTACCACCTACTAGTACCACCTACTAGTACCACCTACTAGTACCACCTACTAGTACCACCTACTAGTACCACCTACTAGTACCACCTACTAGTACCTCCTACTAGTACCTACTAGTACCTACTAGTACCTACTAGTACCACCTACTAGTACCTACTAGTACCACCTACTAGTACCTACTAGTACCACCTACTAGTACCTACTAGTACCACCTACTAGTACCTACTAGTACCACCTACTAGTACCTACTAGTACCTACTAGTACCTACTAGTACCTACTAGTAGTACCTACTAGTAGTACCTACTAGTAGTACCTACTACTAGTACCTACTAGTAGTACCTACTAGTAGTACCTACTAGTAGTACCTACTAGTAGTACCTACTAGTAGTACCTACTAGTAGTACCTACTAGTAGTACCTACTAGTAGTACCTACTACTACTAGTACCTACTACTACTAGTACCTACTACTACTAGTACCTACTACTACTAGTACCTACTACTAGTAGTACCTACTACTAGTAGTACCTACCTACTACTAGTAGTACCTACTACTAGTAGTACCTACTACTAGTAGTACCTACCTACTACTAGTAGTACCTACCTACTACTAGTAGTACCTACCTACTACTAGTAGTACCTACCTACTACTAGTAGTACCTACCTACTACTACTAGTACCTACCTACTACTACTAGTACCTACCTACTACTACTAGTACCTACCTACTACTAGTACCTACTACTAGTACCTACCTACTACTAGTACCTACTACTAGTACCTACCTACTACTAGTACCTACTACTAGTACCTACTACTAGTACCTACTACTAGTACCTACTACTAGTACCTACTACTAGTACCTACTACTAGTACCTACTACTAGTACCTACTACTAGTACACCTACTACTAGTACCTACTACTAATACCACTACTACTAGTACCACTACTACTAGTACCACTACTACTAGTACCTACTACTAGTACTACTACTACTAGTACTACTACTACTAGTACTACTACTACTAGTACTACTACTACTAGTACTACTACTACTAGTACTACTACTACTAGTACTACTACTACTAGTACTACTACTACTAGTACCACTACTACTAGTACCACTACTACTAGTACCACTACTACTAGTACTACTACTAGTACTACTACTA